CTTGATCACAATAAAGACCGACTCAATACTATGATTAAGGTCTTCGTTCTTGGTCTTCGTTTAGCTCTTGCTCTTATCTTCGTTCTTCGCCTTGTATATTCAATGTTCGACTTGATCACGGCGGTTTGGCATTATCAAAACCTGTTACAAAAACGAACACAGCTTTAGTACGAAAACGTGACAAGCCCGTGTTTCAACAATTTCCCCCTTTTTGATAATGGAAAACGAGACGAGGTTATGCATAGGAGGATTATTTTGAAAAAGATGTTCCCCCTTAATAGATTCCATTTTACAAAAAAATTCCCCCTTAATTTATGCATAACCTTAATATCTTCCCCCTTTTGACATTAACAAAAAGAATTAAAAGTAAACTTTAGAATTGTAAAAGTAAACTTTTATTCATGAAAAAGGGAAATGCGGAATACAACGGAATAAAAAATACAATCATAGTAAGAAGAGCAAAAAAGTCTAAGCATCGGCGTCCTCGTCGTCATCCTCGCCGTCCTCGACGTCCATGGGATCGCCGTCGACCGCATCTTCAAAGTCGGCCTCGTCGGGGGAGGAGGATGGAGCATAGGAGTTATCCTCCTCGTCCTCGCCTTCATAGTTTCGGCTATGGATTGCAAAGAGGCCTTGGCGGGAGCGGGGGCTGGTGCACGACTCGGGCCTGCGTCGTCCCGGTCTCCGGACTTCTTCCGGAAGGTGCTGTCTTGAATTATCCAAATCTTTGTCATCTTCGTATCCGGGCCGGTGATGGAGATGTCGGCGGAGATGATGAGGTCCATGACGAGGAAGGCGTATGGCAAGCTCCGCTCAGTGGCGATGGAGGCGCAATCCGCCATGTGGATCATCACGAATGTTTCGTAGAGCTCTCGGGTTTGTCGGCGCTTCTTTTACCATAAAGTTTATTTTCCTCTTTTAGTTTTTTGTTTTCCTTTTGAAGTTTTTCAATTTCAGTTTCAAGATTAGAAAAACGTTTCTTTAAAGCTTTGTTGGTTTTAGAAGCGCTAACAAAATCGTCATAAAGCTCTTGGAGAGCTTCTTGCATTTCTTCAAGAGAATAAGAACCGGTAGAAGAAATACATACCTCTTGGTTTTCGTTGTTGGCGGACTCCTCTTTTTCTTGAGCTATGAGACAAAGGTTTGCTTCCTCGTCTTCCTCTTGTTCGCTTGACTCATCACCGGAGTCGCCACCCCAAGAGATGTATGCTCTTTGCTTTTTGAAGTGACGAGCATTCCTTCCGCTTCTT